AGCTATTACTAAAGTCCAGTGATAATTCTGGTGATAATTGCTCCCTTTATTTCTAAACTGAATTGTTGTAATTCATTATAGTCTTGTCTAACAGGTCAAATTACTGGAAAACTAAAGCAGATACAAAATGAGTTGCTGATAGAGCGCTTCTTTGGAGCCTCAGTTGTTTGATCAGTCATTTTACATTATTATATATTTTTATTGGTTGCTGGTCATGTGTTACACTTTGGTTTTTAGGTTGTTCTAACTTCCACAGCTCCTGGTCTAGGCTGCTGTGAACTGACCATTCTTTTTGTAGTTTTCTGACAAATATCACAGCAAACAGATCCAGAAATGCTGTTTTGTGAGTCTCCTTGTCCTGTAAGTCCCTCCCACTTCCCAGAGGTGTTCTTCAGTGTCAGCTGAAAGAGTTTGTGTGTAGAGTAAGAATTAGTCATTAAAGCGTGATCAGAGTAGATAAATGCTCATTAAAGCTTTGTGCTGTTGGTGGTTGGGTATAAATTTAACATTATACAGTTACAATCTCCCCAGAGCACCTCAGCAAATGCTCGAGCTCCAGAGAAATCCAAGTATGTGCTCACAAACTTTGAATCAGGGCTGTGGAACACACTCTGCCTAATTTGCACCAAGCATTCATGGTGTGAATGCTCTGAACTACCAAGCAAGTGAACACCCAGGCAAAGGTTGTGGTTCCCAAGATGTCTCACTAATTGCTCTGGCTGTGATTTAATGTTATTTATTTATTACACTCCATTATTTTCTGTAGCTCAGTTAGTTCACAACAAAACCCTGAAATGTTGGAGTTACAATCCATCCTCCTAGCATCACAATATTAAATCTTTTCTAAGAGAAATTTTATTTTAATTATAGGCTTTGTACGAAGGCTTCATTAGTTTCTATTACAGAGCTAATTGCAGGTCTCTTTGCCTTATTTAAATTTTTTTAGCAACAAAAGTTCTTGAACCAATGCTAATTCTACTATGAGGACAAATTCTGCAGCAATTATACAGAAGGCAATGGATGAATTGGACTAGATTTGCAAATTTTCCTGCTAAACAGTTGCAGGACAATTCCGTTTAGGTTGAAAAGAGTATGTTTAAAGAATTAATTTATTATTTAAATTCAGAATTTAAGGAATTCTGAAAAGAGAGGAATGCCAGCTTTCATCCTGAATTTGGTATCAAGTAAACATGGCCACAAATTTGTAGAATTGAGTGAATTTTCTCTTGAGCTCTGGGAAATATGGACTGGGATGTTTGGGACCAGCCAGTTTGTCTTCATTGTGATTGTTTCAAAACGTGAAGTGTTTTTGTTTTTAGGTTTTTGGGTTGCTCTCAAAATAACCTAAGCAAAACACGTGGTTACAGAGATTTCCAAACTTGGGTAAGTTGCAATTCTTTAGAATATCCCATATATGCTGAGTGTTCTTTCAAATGTTATTGTTCTTTCCAAGATTGATTTATCTGCAATCTTTTTAAAATCAGGGATGCAGAGACAAATCTGAATTCCAAATAAGTTGTAATGTGGGCCAGTTGTGGGTTTCTGGTGGGAGCCTGTCTTTTTGTGTTCATTAGTGGCATTCAGTTCCCACAGCTCTGTTTCATGCTGGACTTGACAAGCAATTAAATGGCCTTTTCATTTATAAAAACATCCTCTTAGGTGTTTAGAGCTGGAAATGTAGAAATCAGTGTATGGGATGATTTTGGAGGCTTGTTCCAAGTCACATTTCAAGTTTGTGGCAGTGCTGGGTTTGCAGGATGAGCTTATGAATCTTCAAGTGAAATCTAGATTAGCAGGATCTACCCAGCCTGAGAAGAAAATGTTTGCACAAACATCTTTTAAGGGAAACTGATGACTTTCACAAGATCTTAAATAGATTGTACTGAATTAATTATCCCAGTCCTGTAGTTAACTACAGATGAGACCGTAACTGGGACCCAGCAAGCTAAAAAGGAGCCTCCATCCTTCCCGAGCCAGCAGGAGCTGAGCCAAGCTGGGCTCGGCTGAAAGCCTTTCTTTGTGGATCTTGCTGGCTGTCAGTGTGAAAGGTGGATGGAGGCTAAAAATGGCTCAGGAGCATGGCTGGTGTATGCAGGGAATAGCAATGAGAACGGAGTGAAATCAGAGACCGAGCCCTGGACATTGTGGAAAGCATCCAAGGGAGTGGAAAATGCGCAAGCGAACAGGTTATGTGTGGCTGCTGCACGGAGAAATGGCAGAAGGGAGCAAAGGGAAGGGGGGAGAAAAAACCCCAAAACCAAAGGACAAGTGAAAGGGAGATGCTCTGAGAGACACGAAGGGATTATCAGGGAAATGTTCTTCCCCCAAAAGCGGTGGGGTACTGAACAGGTACCCAGGGAATGAGCACGGCCCCAAGGCTGCCAGAGCTCCAGGAGCATTTGAGCAACGCTCCCAGGGATGCACACGGTGGGATTTTGTGGGGTCTGTGCAGGGCCAGGAGCTGGATCGATGATCCTGGTGGGTCTCTTCCAACTCAGGATATTCGACTTAATGAAGGGGAGCCTGCGGGACAGGGGTCAAGGAAGGAAGCTCGTGCTGCAGGGGAGCCCGGGGGGCAGAGCGTGGCGGACACGGCAGAGCGGAGGGGCTGAGAGCGGGCAATGCCGGGCCGAGGGGCGGTAGCCCTTCCATGAGAGCGAGCAGGGGCCGAGCTGAGGGGCGGCAGCCGCGCCACGAGGGACGGAGCCCCGCCATGAAGGCGGCCGATCGATGCCAGGCTGAGGGGCGGCAACCCCTCCATGAGGGCGGGCAGGGGCCGAGCTGAGCGAGGGTCGGTAGCCATGAGGGACAGAGCCTCGCCATGGGGATGGTCGATGCTAGGCTGAAGGGCGGCAGCCCCGCCAAGAGGGCGAGTGGAGCTGGCCTGAGGGCGGCCGATGGATGCCGAGCTGAGGAGCAGCACCCCCGCCATGAGGGAGCTGCGCAGGGACATGGCGGCGCCGCCCGCCCTCCTGACGGCGGCTCGCTCCCGCCCCGCGCTGACGTCACCCCCAGCTCTGCCGGCGCCATTTTGGACGCTCACCGCCGGGGGGGCCGGAGCGGGGCCGCCCCAGCCCCGCCGCGGCCGCGCCGCCGCCTCCTCCATCCGCCGCCATCG